TGGGACATAGCAGGAAGAATACACATTTGAGAACTAACATCACGTATGAGATTGGACTTGACCCAACCCTTTCTGAGTATACTTCTCTTGCCCATTTATGTGTAATGAAAAGAGGAAAGAAATGTATCCTTTGCATCTCATGCTGCCATGTACATGCATGCCCACAGAGATTCAAAAACCAATTAACAAAGAAGGAAATAAGAGTTAAAATGGAATCATTTGCTTTGTATTGAGATTAGATTGTCATCTACCTCCCTCTCCCTACAAGCAACCAGTATAAAATATTCCTGCTGGCCTTCTCCTTCTCCCATCTCAAATGTGGAAAAGTAATTTTAACACTTTTTTCTGTTAGGTGTTAAGGTCTAAAGACTAAACCATATATGCAATTTTAAACTGAAGTTATTTTAGTATATCCCATTTCATGATTCTGTAAGATAACAATAGTAATCATCATCCTTTGCATATGTGTGTTTACTTCTTTGCTTTTCAAAGAGATTTCTAACTGATTATTTCATTTGTTCAATTTGCTTATGTAGCAGATACCCACACTTTAACTTTGGGTTGCAAGATCAGAACTCCTGAGACCTGTTTCTTCCCATGTACTTACTTTGTCATGTACTTACTTTGTCATGTACTTACTTTGTGTGGCAGCGTCTTGAATTTGCCCTTATGGCTCAATTACACAAACTTCTTATAGGTATAGAAAGCTTTTTTTCTTTTATGAACAGAAATTAAGCTAATTATTAAACCAATAAGATGACAGTTAAAAAACTATGTTTTATAGATGTTTTTATAGAACTAGACTTAATTAAGCATCTCTGTGCAAATAAGTTCCCTTTTTTACTAAACCCTGTACCTCTTACTCCCTGGGCAGTATGACTCTGGTTTAATCTTTAGACCTGAATTCAGTTCACCCAATCTCAGAATTTATTATTAATTCCCTCAGAAACTATCTGTCCCTTTGAGTATTTGAGCAGTTTGCTTAATCAGCTAATGTGGGAGGCTCACTCTACCTTGCTACTCAGTTTAAACCTCATTTCTCTGTTCTCTTTAGAAAGAAATAGCCTTTCTTCCCCTACACAACAGCTAAAAAAGAGAAAGGTCACTTGGTAACTTAACCCGGGCCCCTCTCCCCTTCCTTCTGTAACTAGAAAGGGTTCTCTCCCCTCCATATCTCCCCTCCACCTTACCATCTTTTTACCGTTGAGTAGGCATCATGCTTTACATCTGAAAGTTTACCTGAATAAAATTGGTTCTTTCCAGCCAATTTCAAGCACAGATTAGGTCACAACTGGTAAATGGAATGAGAAAATAAACTTCAAGTAATATTCCAGCTCAATATTTTAAAACTCACTAAAGAAAATTGCGGAAGCCATATAAAGTGGCTTATCTTAGAGGTCAACTTTAGGATTTTTCATATGGTTATAAAGTAATGTTTTATGTGGGTAGCTTTTATAGAAGTGCTCTTTTGAACTTTTACTAGAGGAAATGGCTAGCATCAGTCACTTCCACACCTCCAGAGGTACAGTGAAAAGGACAGACAATAGATAAACGTTTCTGCCAGACTTAGGGTAGAACAGTATGGCATGACAAGATACCATCATTATTTCTTACCAAGTTTATTTCTTGCTTATTCACTGGATTTTTAAGAAAATAAGGAAGCTCAGGAGACAGTAGTCATTTCTTCAATTTAACTCAATAAATGTGTACAAAGTTCCCATTTCTTTTAAAACTCTGACTTTGGTGTTGTGGGCAGGACCTTCTAGGTGAAGGGGTAACAAAAATAAGTTTCCATTTCTACCCTCAAGAACTTAAAAAGTTGAGAGATAGTCGTATAATGTGATTATTTGATAACTCTGTATATTCTGGTGGTTTAAAAATCGGGAATATAAAAGACAGAAGCATGAAGCAGGGTAGCATATTGTAGAAACTGAAGACTTAGACCCTCATACATTGGGGTCACCATTCTTGATGAGCATGAAGGGTAATTATGCCCAGAGAGGTCACAAGAAGAATCTTAGATGAAGTTTCTAAGGATAGGAAGGGTTTGACCGGGTGTAAAGAAAAAGGAAACTCTGGGCGTAAGGATGGAAATGAGAAATAAAAATAATGACAAATTTGAAATAGATGACTAATTTTGTGTAGCTGGAACATTTAAAACTGATCATAGAAAGTTTCCTTAGTGGTGGTTCTCCCAGAATTTCACCACTCCATGTGACTTTATCTCTAAAGGTAGGCCTTGGTGATCGTTATATTAATTTTATCACCTCTAGTACTGTCCTAGACCCCCAGGATACATTTCCTGAGACCATTATTTGTTAATAAGAAGCTCTCAGTCTAGCATAAACTGCAATTGTTTATTGAAACAAGTTTAATAAACCAGCAAAACAATGCCTAACAACCCACTTTTGCTGGGTTTAAAAGTAAAGATACTTGTCATTTGACAAGGGTATACTTGAATAGGTAGTTAGCCCCCCAAGTGGCCACCCTTTGTCAAATCTGGCCCCTGCTACAACACTTTTGACAGCTGAAAAATGCAGTTGGGACAAAGGGAATCTGAACAGACCATCCATCATTCTCTTGCTGCGATTCTTAAGGTCAGTCATCCTCATTGTACGACCCACAGAGAACAGGCATTGTCTCCAAGTGCCCACCGGAGCCACCAGTTGCTGACCCCTAAGTGATTATCATTTATTTGTGTTTAGTGTAGATTTGAAGATTGAATTGACTTTTCCTAGTCAGTTGACCGCATTAGTTCTTGGATATGATTTGCACATAGAAATAGTTTTGTCCAGTAGCTTCTTTGATAATAATGCACTTCTAAAACCAAGCATTTGTGTCTATGAACAATAAAGAAAGTCAGGTCTTGAGTTGGTGACCTGGTTTCTATTGTTAACTCTCTTATCAAGGGCCTCTCCTCCTTGAAGTTATTTAAAACCTGATCTTAGAACAATAGGCTCAGTTTCACATGTGAATTGTGGGCTACTTTTAAAGGAAATAATTTTTACTAAAAGGAAAAGCGAGATAATAACATAAAACACATATCTATAGTTATTTCAGGTGACTGTAACCATTAAAATCAGAATATCATTTAATGAAAAACTATCCTATCTCATAATATGTAAAACCTTTCAATTTTATTATAGTAAGGTCAATGAGCAGGAAGAGATCCTATTCTGAATTACATTCTTAATGTCATTTATTATATTATGTGTTTATAGTTGGCAAAGGATATTTAGTCAATAGATGTATTTTGCCACCTATTTTAATGAACAGAAAGGAATGTCTCATTATTAAGAAATCAAGTATTTATAAGTAAGAACTTCATTGCTAGAAAAGTTTGGTTTTTTGGGATGGATATATTAAGTATGTTCTTTACAATCTTATTTTAATACTTTTTTATTCAGGTAATTCTTTTTCTAAAATAGCACAAAAGTAAAGTTTAGGTATTTTCATATACATATTCAGAACAAATGCAGTTTGAAATGTGGATTTTTTGTTGTTTGTACAAAGAGACGTTATTAGCATTTTGACCAATAATCAGAATTCTTTCATCCAACATGTTCTTCCTTGTATGTCTATTTTATTTGCTGTCACATTTTTTTTAGTAATTGCATCAAGCAACCTTAATGACCCAGGTGCTAATATGACACTGAGTTTTATAAGTAGTAAAATAATAATGATTATGGAGTTCTGTTATTGTTTGTTTGCTAACCTTGTTTTGTTTATTTTTTAGTTTAGAAAAAGTAAACATTTTAAAATACTGAAACTTGACAATTCTCCCTTCTTGCCTAACCTCCTGGAGTAGAACTCCTTAACATTCCCCAATACTTTCAGATCTGAAACCTTTCCCACAGGAATTGTGTCTTATTTTAAGCGAGACAATTGGTAAATGGGTTAGGTTCTTTATTACAGGAAGACAGAATCTTCCTGAGCTGGAATTATTTCCTCACTGTGTACTAAACTCTTTTCACCTTATGATGACATTTTACAGGTCTCGATTTGAGACTAAATTTCTTTTCTTTTGGGTTTCTAGAAACCTCAAAAGTCCTAATGTTAAGCAGTACTGTAGTGTTCAGAGGAGGTTTACTTCATCTTCTGGATTAGGGCTCTCCAGAGAAATAAGACTAGTGAGAGATATAAAAAGATATTTATTATAAGGTATTAGTTCATACAATTAGGGAAGCTGAGAAGCATCACAATCTCTACCTGCAAGGTAGAGACCCCAGAAGGCTGGTGATGTAGTTTGAAGGCCTGAGAGCCAGAGACCCAGTGGCTTAGCTTCTAGTCTGAATCTGAAGGCTTGAAAACCAGGAGTGCCAAGGACAGAAGACAGATGTCCAGCTAAACAATCTGACACAGAAAGGGAAGATCCTCACTTCTTCTATCTTTTTGTTCTTCACTGACAGAACAAATTGAATGGTGCCCACCCCCATTGGTGAGGGTGATGTTCTTTACTCATTCCACTGATTAAAATGCTAATCTCTCTTGGAAACACCCTCATAGACACCCTTCAGAAGTAACATTTTACCAAATATCTGGGCATTCCATTTTCCAGTCAAGTAGACACATAAAACTAGCTGTCACACACACACTTTCCAAGGTTCCCAATATTAATCGTAGGGATAACTACCACACTTAAAACAGAGGTGTAAGTCAATCCATTGATACTAAGTAGGTCTTATTGTGTATTCCAAAAATGACGCTAAATGAAAGAAGACAATACCAAATAAAAAAAAATAGCAAGCTCTTTACCCTGTAATTAGAAAGACAAAGTAAATTCATGAGTCAATTAAGAAGTCATAAATCATAGTAATCTTATATGACATGGAATTTAAAACTAGAAGAGCACTTAATCAGGTGCAAAATGATTCTTAGCTCAAAGTAAGGGGGAAGAAGAGGTGATTGTGGGTGGAAGCCCTTGGATAGGCACACTGAACAGTTTTGATAGCAGACGTGATTGAAGGGTAGAAGAGAAGGAATAAGGCCTTTTGGCCTGGATGGTCAAGCAGAAGGCAGTAAAGAGATTGTTGGAAAACAAGTGGAATGGTAGGCAAGATATTCAGTTGGGTAAAAGGGATGGCAAATCATGGAGGCTAAGGAAAGCTGCTGTCACTTCTGTAATCATTGTTGTCCTGAGCAGTTCATTGGGAGTCCTCCTTCAAGCAGCAGTCTTGGTAATGATGGTGACAGCAGTGGTACTAGTAATGACCAACAGTTATTGAGCTCTTATGATGTGCCAAGCTTTTATGCTTTTCATGGATTATTGTACTTTAAGGCATTATTATCTGTTTTATAGCCAAGGAAAGGAGGCATAGAAGAGGTTCATAACTCACCCCAGGCCACAGAACTAGTATGTGTAAAGCTAGTATGTTGAGCTCAGGCAATTTTACACCACATTCCATATTCTTAAACACTTTCTTGTATTACCTGAGGGCAGTAAGTAGCTGCAGAGAGCAGCAGTTCCAACACATCATTCTACATTTTAGGAGGGATGTTAATAACTGGAGTCCATCCAAAGGAGGATGATTGGGATGATAAAGAATCCTTGAATCCCTGTGAACAGAAATAGTGATGTCAAGAAGATAATCAAGTTTGTAGAGAAAGTGATAAATTAGGCTTTATATCCCCCCTTTTCCTCCTGTTCCCTAGCTGTAATGGGCTGTGTTCTCTCACCACTGTATATTATAGAGATTGAGGAATTACATAGAAATGTTTAAGTGGATTACAAGATTATTCCAGATAGATAAGACTTTTTTTAAACCAAGGATAAAATAATTTCTGAGAGATGTTACTTACTGGTCTTTTTTGAATGAGACATCATTTACTTTTATATTCCACTAAAGCAATCCTTGACGATTGAGTTCACAGAAAGCAAAATCTTAGTATCTATCAATTTTTGCAGTTCTGATTTTTCACCAAATACCTGAGGTCCTTTAGAGATTTTGTGAAGTGGAGGAAGAGGAAGAAAAGCAATATATGATTAGTATTAGTATCAGTCTTGGTCAGAACCTAAATAATGGAAATACATTGTTTATTCTGTTCTACAATCCCAGTTATAGGAGGATGTGTCACTGTTTTAATAATGATGTTTCAGGAATAAAGCCCACTTCCATAAAGGCAGACATTCATTCTAAGGTATATTCTGATGCCAGAAATTTTAAAATGTCTAAAGGCCTTTTATCGTACAATAGAAGAAATAAGGAAGTTCTGCCCCATCTTTACAATAATTTTTGGGAGGAGGAGGTAAGAGAAAACCAGGCAAATATTGGCAAAGGCAACATGATCTGTGGGTATTTGGGCTCTAAGAATTGAGGGAGTGATGAAGAAGATAGAGTCAAAGGCCAGGCATAGAGAGGCCCCAAATAAAGTTAATAGACATTAGGAGAAGGAAATTTGAGTGTCTGACTTAGGTACTCATATCAACTTAGCCCTCTAATAGAGCCTGCATGAAATTACTCCTTTGGGTATGCCTATTAACCATCCACAAATAAGACCAGATCAACCTTGGCAGCCCAATTCAAGGAAACGTACTTCCTTCAGCCTCATCAATCTGTCTTCAAGAGCTCTGGCTACACTGTTCTACTTCCTATACTAGGAGCTTCTGCCTAATGTGATGGATATTCTCACAACCTTCTGATTGTTGACTACCTCTCTTGGTGTAGCTAAAGATTATTCAGTGTAATGCTATCGGTGCCTCTAGCTGTCAGCTGCCCACACTTTAATGAGATGCACAGACTATAAAAACTCCATGGTCATCGCCCCATAGACATTATCATTGTAAATGGTAAAGTAGCTATCAAACTGGAGCTTCATGATTTATAAGGAGACATTTTTAGTTGAGCTATGCCTTTGAAATCTCTTTTCTCACTCTGTAGTTCAAGCTCTCGCCACTGGATTATATAATTAGTAAAGGCAGAAGACTATGACTTTCTGGTCAACACAGTGATACACATATTACAGGATCTTAGTAAACTTGTGTTGAGTATTCTTTTCTATAATATTTCTGTCATACCTTATTGTTCCCCAGAGCTATTTAGGGTAAAAGAAAAACCCCAAGTATTGAAGCTTAGTCTCTGAGAGTCATGTAAAGCTGACAGCCATTCACTTTTGTTTTGCATTTACTTGCTTTATTTGAGTAAACTTCCCCCAACCTTGAAAAAATTTACTACATACACATAGACTGATCAATTTGCAAATCTTCTTTGCTTTTATTCTAAGAATTGTAAATGCTTCTCATTGAAATATTCAACATCCTCAGCGTAACCTAAAATAGGCTTTTAAAAAACCTAATTTAATTATTTTTCCAGTTGAGTTTATGTCAAAAGATGCAATTTAGTTCTCCTGACAGCATACTTATACTCTAATTAAACTCTTTCAATTTGCAGTTTTTTCCCCTCAATCTTCATTTATCCATAAAGCCACATTTGACCTAGATATGTAGCAGTAGATGACAAAACATTGAGTTTCTAAGCCCCATCTTCCCAATGAATGATTTTATCATCTTTCCTTTTTATAGTGGCAAAATATTTATGTTAACACATCATAGTGTAATAAAAGCAACAATCTAGTGCTAATGGTCTTCACCATGATTGACATTACTTGGTTATACATTTAGTACATTTGTGCAAGGATATTTCTCTAGGATTTCCTAAACAGTTGAGGCCATGAGAGATGAAAAGATGTTGCCAAAGTCTCATACCTAATTTGGAACAGAATAAAAACTAGAACCCAAGTCTCCCACCTGATTGCTAATGAATTGTTTTGTGCTTACTTCTTTGCTTGTTTTTTTACTGAAGAAAGGATTATTTTGGGAAATATAAAAAGGACTGTTTAGCATGTATTTAGGGTCATGTTGTACTATAGTAGTGTGTGTATGGTACTCGTGAGGTCACAGGGCAGTTGATTTCAGTATACCATGTTGAGTAAGAGTTTAGGCTACACAGTCAAATACACCTGATTTGAAATTGCTACTCAGACATGAAGCAGCTCTAGGACTGTGGGCCAGTTAATACTACCAGTATTAACACCTGAACTTCTTGTGAGGGTGAAATGACCTGATACCTGTGATGTGCTTAGTGTAACATCTGACACAGATTAATGCCTTTAATAAAAAGCTCAGGTATCCTTCAGCCCCCTGGTCCCTGGGCCCAGCACAATGCCTGACCCAGTGAGGGCTTGGTGCCGGAGGATACCTGACTACTGATCCTTGTAGCCTACTTCACCTCTCTGAGTCCCAGTTTTCCTGTCTCTAATAATAGGGGCAATAAATCACAGCTCATAGGAGTTTGATAAGGGTTGAATGACTTATTTGTCAACTAAACAGTGTATAGCAATAATTACTAACAATGAGAGCATCCCATTTGCCAGATACTGGGCTTAGTGCTTTATTTAGTTATCTCATTTAATCCTGACACCAGCCCTTTAAGGTGTAGGTACTGTTATTACCCCATTTTAAAGATGAAGAAACTGAAACCCAAAAAAGCTAACTAATCCACACAGCTAGTAAGTGATAGAGCCAGTGCTTTTGGTTCAGAGGTCAGAATTAGAACCGACTGTATGGGTAGAACTTTACAGCTCCTCAAAGTCAGGATAGTGTATTATTTATCTTTGTATCTTCCCTCCTCTTTTTGACCTCAGGAACCAGAAGAGTGTTTTGTTGTGTGTTGGATGAGATCCCCCAATATAAAGAGGAAAGAATAACTCTCAAGCAGTTATAACCTCAACAATGGAATTGGCCACTTTGCAAAGGAGGAAGGTCTGTGTCTTTGAAAAGGTTCAAACTGTGGCTAGCTGACCTCTAAGGTCCTGCCTAGCTCTAAGATTTTCTGGTTCATTAATCTCCTTGGCATGCCCGTGTTACATAAGGTGCCTTTCTCTGCTGGAGGAGAGGGGAAAGAGTATACATCTAAATTATTCAGCCTTACTCTTACAAAGTAAAATCTCCTACTCAGGATCCTACCAACTATTATTTTCTAAGCTTTACTAAAGAATTAGATTTTCATTTCCACTTCTGTTTTTAGTTTTGAAGAACTAGTTCAGTTCCTTGTTAAAAAATATTGTAAGCATCATGTTGCACCATTATTAAGAAATGTATTTTACAATATGAATGTAGTGCCAGGTGAATTTATATGAATTACTCCATGTTTGAGAGTGAACCATTTGGTACTTGTTCTGAATAAAATTGTTAAAGGGAAGGAAATTGCAAATGTGCAGTTTTTCCATCCCTTTTCAAAATCTTTGGCCTTGTCTAGGCAGCTAGCAATGATGACTGCCCTGAAAATGAGATTTCTGTGACACTTTCTAGGTATTCTAGATCTTTAATTCTTCCCAAAGTATTGTCAAATGAAACATTTATTGAAAAGCTTACAATTACATTGAATATCTTGAAAAATTTTGCTTACATTGGTGAAACATCAAACAATACATATATGGTAGTACTATTTTTTTTTCTTGTAGACAAGAATTCTCACTGCTCCTATTTTTCATGACTCATCCTTTCTTAACTCATCTTTCTTATCCTTTGAAACTTTCTCTTTAGAGAATCCAAAAAAGCTTTCGTCATCATTTTTTTTCTCCAATTCATGAGAGCTCCACTTTTTAAGTGGAAGAAATAATGTTGGTTTTTCCACAGGGATTGATTATAAATTCCTTCTCCATGCTGAATTACACTGGCCTCTAGTGGATACCTGTCTCAGTAATATTTCATATTGATCTTGCCTTAACAGTTATCGTAGTACTAAGCTACATATTTTAATAATTTCCAATAATCTGTATTATACAGTACAATCATGATGTCAGGGTTTGAAGTAGATGTCGTCATGAAATTGATTAAACTTTGTGCGAATAGTCCCATACTTAGCAATGTCCTTAACAAATTTGGATTATTTCCTGCAATTTTTTAAGGTGGAACTGCGGTGTTAATTCCACAGGACTTTTCATTTAACAAACTTTGTACTTGAAGACTCAAGGAATATATAACAGATCATTTTAGAAATCAGTACAACTTACTTATTTCAGAGAAGTAAGATACTAATGTGATATCCAATTATCTTATATTCTCTGTGCATGGTCTTCGTTGGAAAAAAAAAGAAACTAGCATATTCCAAAGCAGTATCATAATGGAATTTTTTCCCACATATAAAATTTAAGAAAATCATCCTGTTAAAAAATGTCA